TTGGCTCTGGCTTTTCCTAGGAAGCACACACACAGCTGGGCCAGCCGCCTTGCGGACGCCACCGCGTCTGCTAGTTAACGATGCTGCCGCTGCTATTCCCGATGATGGCCTTCCGTTAGTTATTGTCGATTACTAATAATATAGTTTAGGGGCGCTTCTATTGCGTATTAACTTCTGCTCCTCCCGCTGTTCTGCACTTGTCAAGCCACACACAAAAAAAATATATAAACCGAAACACTCGTTCCACAGCGAACGGCGCCGAATTATCCTATTTTTCGCAGACTTCACAATACATTTATTAGTTATTCTGTGTGTAATGTGAGCAATGCGGCCAGGCCAGCCGAGTGTGCGACAATTGCACTGGTGCTGCAACAAAATGTTGCAGAGTGTCGGTTGAGCTGGTACCTCCTGCTGTTGTTGTTTGATTGGGTTTATCGGGTGTCAGCAAAACTGCTGGTGCGTAGAACTAACACACTGCACAGAAAAAGAATGGGATGGGAAACTTGCATCGTTAATTACTTGGCTTGATAATTCATCTGCTTGCCATTTAAGGCAGCCTCGTCTTCGTCAGTAGCTTTACTTCACAATTCGTAAAAAACTTATTCTCTTTTTTTTTGCCATACAAGCCAACTAGTGTTGTCAAGCTACTGAATGCCAAGTGGCGTTGCCAGTGCAGCGGTAGCGTTTTTTTCGATGAATTCTACTGACGAAGAGTACCGTCCCGGGGCTGCAGGCGTATATTATTTAATTGCTTTTTTATGCGTTATATTCAATAAAGTTAGTCAGTTGTCTGATTATTCGCTGCTGGTAGTTATAGCTTGCGATTTGTTGCGTACGCGAGTTGGCAACCCTGTTGCTGTTGTCAGTGGCAACACCAGCGCAAAACACGTCATTTTGCCACACAGGTTTTTTTTGCAATTGAAAAGGAATGCGCCTTTTTTTCATTAGTATGTATACATATGTATGTTGTCATATATATGATTGGGTCGGGCATGTGAGTGCATTATCAATGCTTACAATGCACTTTTTTGTTTATCACATTTGTTATTCACTGATACACACGACAGGCGGTGACAGCTGTATAACATTATGCGCACACGCACACACTTACACTTGGGAGCGCAGGTATGCCTACAATCTATGCACTGCTGCTACCACACAGAACTGTGTACATTTTTCTGACCTTCTCTTTGGACATTTACAACTAAAACGACGGACATACGCGGAAAATGCAAATGGCCATTGAGGCAGAGAGGTCGAAATGCACAAATATTTGTTTTTAAATGCAATATACAACTGTTTGTAGCATGCACAACAGGATTTGTTTCGTCGCACAGCACATGAAAAATGTAGAAAAGAACACTACACTTTTACGCTGTTGCGTTACCAACACTTTTCTCAACTCTATGCAACACTGCAAGTGTCATCGATATTTATATCCTGCTGATGTCACATCACATCACTCGCAAATATATTACACCATACAAGAGTTTAATGTTTTGTAACTATTATTTTTGAATGGGCTGTAAATTTTCAAAATATTTATTGATTGTTTAACATTAAAGCTATTTACTGTACTGTGTTGAGGACAATAATTGCTTTTTGTGCACAAAACCTCCAATACTTGAAATATCGATAGGCTACATCGCTATGTTTGCTTGCCTTGGCAACCCTGCGTTTTGCAAGTTGACTTGCTTTCTGAATTAATTTCTTAAATTGCACAAAATACAACGAATGTATAGCAGCATAACAAAGGCAAAATGAAAATTAATAACAAATACGAGTTCGACGACGACGTCGCATCGATATGCGAATCGACGGTAAGCCCTCCACACATGCCCAGCACTTCTGGTGTCTCTTTCGCTACGGCTTGTTGTTCCTTTTTTTCAGGCCGCCTTGACCGAGGGCTGCCGCCTGCCGGTGCGTATGCACAAGACGGATGACTGGCCCCTGGCAGAGATCGTTAGCATCAAGGAGCTGGACGGGCGCCGTCAGTTTTATGTCCACTATGTAGACTGTAAGTAGTTGGAAATGTTCTCGAAACGTGAAGAGGAAAAACTAAGAAATCTTGATAGTCAACAAACGCCTGGACGAATGGGTTAACGAGGACGATCTGTACACCCGAAAGGTGCAGTTTCCTCGTCGCGACGGCTCCCAAACAGGCACCAGCACGGGCGTAACAACTCCGCAGCGCCATCACTCGCTGGCCGGCAGTGTGTCGCGTCCCACTTCGCCCCAGCACTCGGGCATTGGCATCAGCACCGCAGGAGCTGCTGTCAGTGCCAGTGCCGGTGGCGCTGGTGTTGGCGTTGGCGTTGGCATACCCATTGGCGGCAGCGGCAGCAGCAGCAGCAGTGTCATTGCCAGTGGAGGAGCTACTGCTGGAGGTGCGGCAAGCGGCGCCGTTGTGCCTGCAGGTGCCGCTGTGGGCGGCGGCGAGTTGGTCAATGGCAACAATGTATTGGCTGCTGCGCTGCAGAAGCGCTTCAATCGCAGGCGCCGCGTGCACGGCAACACGCATGGACAGAACATACCGTCGCAACAGCCGCCGCATCCGCAGACACCCAACGCCCAGGCGGCCACGCCGGTGCATGTGACCGGTGATGGCCTGATACCCACAACACCCGTTGAAGATGGCGACGCGTCGCAGGATGGTAAGATTCCCACGCCCAGACAGTCGGGCAGCATGGTCACGCACCAGGACGATGTGGTGACTCGCATGAAGAACGTGGAAATGATCGAGCTGGGACGTCACCGCATCAAGCCGTGGTACTTCTCGCCGTATCCCCAGGAGCTGTGCCAGATGCCCTGCATCTACATCTGTGAGTTCTGCCTGAAGTATTGCAAGAGTCGCAAGTGCCTGGAGCGTCATCTCTCCAAGTGCAATCTGCGGCATCCGCCGGGCAACGAGATCTACCGCAAGCAGACCATCTCCTTCTTCGAGATCGATGGGCGCAAGAACAAGGTGTACGCACAGAATCTCTGCTTGCTGGCCAAGCTGTTCTTGGACCACAAGACGCTCTACTACGACACAGATCCATTTCTGTTCTACATCATGACTGAGTTCGATTCGCGCGGCTTCCACATTGTCGGCTACTTCTCCAAGGAGAAGGAGAGCACCGAGGACTACAACGTCGCCTGCATACTGACAATGCCGCCATATCAGCGCAAAGGCTATGGCAAGCTGCTCATCGAGTTTAGCTACGAGTTGTCCAAGTTCGAGGGCAAGACAGGCTCGCCCGAGAAGCCGCTCTCCGATCTGGGACTGCTCTCATATCGCTCATATTGGGCGCAGACAATACTGGAGATATTCATTAGTCAAAATCCCAGCACTGAGGGCGAAAAGCCAACCATAACCATCAAGTAGGTGCCACTCAATGTTTCTATTGTTTCCTTCTTGCTAATTTCTCCCTCTCCCTCTCTCCAGTGATATTTGCGAGTGCACTTCGATCAAGAAGGAGGACGTGATCTCAACATTGCAGAACCTTAATCTCATTAACTACTACAAGGGGCAGTATATAGTCTGCATCAATCGTGACACCATCGAGCAGCATCATCGCGCCATGGAGAAGCGTAAAATTCGCATCGACTCCAAGTGCCTGCACTGGACACCCAAGGACTGGTCCAAGCGCTCCAAATGGTAATCTCTCTCACCCTCTCCTTCCTCTCGCCTGCCCAACGCTCGCTTACCTAAAAATATTTTTTTTAATTCATTGTAGATGGCCTGCTATTGCTATTAACCCAGCCACAGCGTGGTCGCTTGAGCCGGCTAGCCGCCGCAGGTCAGACCTGGTCAGTGCTGGCATGCCCCGAGCCCCGCAAGAGACTAACTGGAAGCCTTGTAGTTCGTAGTTTATAGTTTTCATTTAAAATCTGTTGCGCTTTTAATAAAGTACAAAGAATTCATGTATTCCAAATATATTTACGACGACGAATCATCAATCTTGCTCGACTCCCTCGGCGGCAGCTCACTGACCGGATTGTCCAGTGCCTTCAGTGTGGCTGCCTCCAGGCCGTTCTCCACAAACTCCACCGATTCCTGCAGCGACTTGTGGGTTTCCATATTCTCAGCACAATTTCGCTGCTGCTTGCTGAGCAGCGAACGTGCTCTGTGGCCCGTCTCCAGGTTAACGGTGCATTTCTCAATGGCATTCTCATCCAGGACTGTGGCTTGTTTGTCACTGGAAATTTTGGAAGCCAATGTTCGCACATCGCTGGAAATATACGCTACCTGGTCGGGCGCTACGCTTTTCTGGGCCGCTATGGCGTTGCCCAGCATAGTGCACTTGGCGACTCTGACCAAGCGGCTGTAGTGGCGCTGATACTCGCACTTGGCTTCCAGCCAATTGCGCGCAGACTCCTCCACAATGCGCTGCACGATCTTTTTGTCATCGTTGAAACGCTTGAGGGCTTCCAGGTGCATTAGGCACTGTATATCTTCGAGACCATTGTCTGTGGCTACAAAAGATGAGGAGGATTCCATTATTCGATGAGACTTTTTAAAAATGTTTGCAATTTTATCGAAATATTTTTTTCGATGACCGCAATGCAAACATGAGAGGGTGAAGGAGTGCAAAACCCAATCAAAGTCATTTCATAATTAATACTTCAAGCTGGCAGTGATAAAGAATGTTTAGAACGTGGCTGGAGTGCAGAAACATTTTATATTTATTATAATTATTTATTATCGACTACTTTCTGGCAGCGCCATGCCACCTGTGAGCAGTGCTGCCAGACTTCCCTCCAACACGTGTTGCCGGCTGTTTGGTACTGTGCGCGCCTGGAAAATAAATATTTCGTTCATTATTTTGCATATACTTGGACCAGCACGTAGAAATTTATTGATAATGGCGCGTGGAAAGAAACAGAACCCCTTTGCGGCCCGTAAACGTCAAAAACGCGAAAACGTACGCAGCAATTGATTGCCCTTAAAACTAAAGTTTCTTTTCTGTAATATCTGCAATTTCTGTGTTTCAGGGTCCACAACGCCCCGATCGGCGTTCCGAGCCTTACGAGGAGACCAAACGCGACAATGTCTCGTTCATCAAGTACTATCACCTGCAGAAGATTTGCCCCACAGAGGAGGAGTGGACGCAGTTCCTCGAATCCATTCGCGACAATCTTCCAACCACGTTCCGAGTGACGGGCTTCAAGGGCGAGGCGAAGGCCCTGCTGAACATCATCGAGACGCAGCTCTTCACCGAATATGTGCGCGCGGTGGCGGAGCTGCACCAGAAGCAGCCAGAGCAGGTGGAGCGTCCCCTGTGCCTGCCCTGGTATCCCGACGGCTTGGCCTATCAGCTACAGCTCACGCGCAAGGACATACGCCGCTCGGAGCCCCTTTGCCGACTGCACAACTTTCTCATTGTGGAGACAACGGCTGGCAGCATCAGTCGCCAGGAGGCCGTCTCCATGATCCCGCCCATTGTGCTGGACGTCAAGCCCACGGACAAGGTGCTGGATATGTGTGCGGCGCCCGGCTCCAAGACTGCGCAGCTCATCGAAGCACTGCACGCCGCGCCCGAGCAGCACAAGATCCCGCCCGGCTTTGTCCTGGCCAACGATGTTGACAACAATCGCTGCTACATGCTGGTCCACCAGGCCAAGCGCCTGAACTCGCCCTGCCTGCTGGTGACCAACCACGACAGCAGCGTCTTCCCGAACCTGCTGCAGAGCAACGAGGAAGGGTCCAAGTCCGTGCTCAAGTTCGACAAGATCCTCTGCGATGTGCCGTGCTCCGGGGACGGTACGCTGCGCAAGAATCCCGATATCTGGACCAAATGGAACCTGGCGCAGGCCTACAACCTTCATGGGATCCAGTACCGCATTGTGCGACGCGGTGCCGAGATGCTCGAGGTGGGTGGCCGCCTGGTCTACTCCACCTGCTCGCTGAACCCCATCGAGAACGAGGCTGTGCTGCAGCGCATTCTCAAGGATGCCGATGGGGCGCTCGAGCTGGTGGATGCCGGTCACCTGGTGCCCGGCCTAAAGTACAATCCCGGCATGACGGACTGGAAACTGGCCACCAAAGAGGTGGACACTGTCTACACAAGCTTCGATGAGGTGCCAGAGAGCATGCGCACCATCATCCGGCCAGCCATGTTCCCGCTGCCAGCCGAGGACATGGCCAAGATTAACCTGAACAAATGCATGCGGATACTGCCGCATCTGCAGGACACCGGCGGCTTCTTTGTGGCCGTCATCGTGAAGCGGCGCCAACTGAGCTTCGAGAAGAACGATGTGAAGGACTTGCTGGAAAAGCCAGCAGAGGCCGCCGTCGAAGAGCCCCAACTGGACGAGTCCGGCAAGCCCATCGAGGCGAAGAACGTGCCGTGGGGGCCACAGCGGAAGCGTAAGCGACTCCATGGCTACAAGGAGGATCCGTATGTGTTCTTTGGCGAGGAGGATGCCGACTACAATGCCATCAAGGAGTTCTACCAGCTGGACGAGTCGCTCAGCAAGCGCTGTCTGCTCACGCGCTGCGTCACCGAGAAGAAAAAGAACATCTACTTCTGCTCGGAGCCCATCCGAAATCTGGTGGTGAACAACGAGCACAACATCAAGATAATCAACACCGGCGTAAAGACATTTGTACGCTGCGAGAACCGCCACACGGTCCATCCATTTCGGCTGGCCCAGGAGGGACTGCAGACCTCAAACGCCTTTATGGGCAGCAGTCGTCGCATCGAGGTGCATCGCGATGACCTGGTGCTGCTGCTCAACTGCACAGATCCAACGAAACCGCCCTCGACCCACGAGCTGAAGCAGGCCACCCAGGACCGCTGCAGTGAGCTTGGTAAGTCCAATGACCCACTTTTATCCCTTGCCTCTCTCGTAATCTCTGCTTTCTCTAGGCGTGGGCAGCTGCATCCTGAAGTACATGGACGAACAGTTTACCCTGTTTGTGGTTGGATGGCGCGGCACCTCTAGCCTGCGGGCCTATGTCGATCGCGATGAGACCATTCACATCCTTCGTCTGCTTGGCGCCGATCTCAGCAAGTTTGAGGTCAACAAGTACGATGAGGCCAAGAAGGCAGCAGCAGCGGCAGAAGCAGCTGCAGCGGCAGAAGCCCCAGGAGGCCCCAGCCTTCCCCAGGAGGAAACGGCAACGGAGAGTTAGTAAATATTAATAATCTCCTTGAAAGATGCATTCAATTTTGACTCTCCACCTCCATTGATAGCCTGGAGGGGTTTGTATAATTAATACGAAGAAATATATATCTATATATTCCCATACAAATTGTGCTCCTTTTTTATATTCTTTGCATAGATATTTTACTAAGAATAAATGTAGAAAACATCTGCACACAAGCCAAGTACAGTTGCCTCCTACACCGATTATAGTCAATAATTATCGGAAGAGTAAATCACATTTTAAATTCGATTCTTTCGAAACTGCCTGAGCAAGCATTTGTTTTCAATCTGCAAGGGTAAACATAAGCACATGCCGAGTGTTAAGAGTTTTTCCAAATAATCGACAGCTCAACGATTGATCAGCGATTACAGTAATTGCCACCCAGATAAAAAAAAAGAAGAGAATAGACCAGAACATTATTTTGCGTACGTTTTTTGTTATAAAATGTTACATTTATGGTTTTAATTTTATTTTTTTTGTTTCCCAGTATAAATATATCATATGTAAAGTATATAAAAAAAAGTTTCATTAAAAAATTACACATACTCTTTATAAAAAATGTTTGCCTTCTTTTTTTTTGCATTTCGTTTTGTTTTTTTTTTATGCATTTCTTATATCGTTTTTCCATTTCTAGTTGTTTAGTTTTACACGCTTTATACGTGTTGTGTGGTGTTTTCCATGTCTTTTAAAAAGTATTTCTCATATGTTTCCATTTTTTGTTTTCTTTCTCTTATTGCGTTGCGTTTTTGAGTAAAGTAATTGGAGTTTTATTTTATTTTATTTTTTTTCGTGTGTGTTTTGGAAACAATTATGCACAAATATATGTATGTATATTTATTAGGGGGAAAGGGCCCTTTTTTTGTTTTGTTTTTAGACGAACGTTTTTTATGTTTAATGTTTAAATACGTTTGTAGGAATGAGAGAGTGTGTGTTGCCCGCGTTGGCAGCTTTGTTAGTAATACAATTTGCAAAAAAGGTGAAAACAAAAATTACATGCATATCAAAAAATAATAATAATAAAAAAAAAACAAAAATAAATACTTTTTCAAGCAGGCAGACAATAATTAATGAATGTGGTACTACAGCAACAGTCTCACGATCTGTGTTGCAAGCTCTCTCTCTCTCTCTTTCTCTCTTTCTGCCACCACTGTACCAGTTGCACCAGTGCAGTCGGTTTGCAATGACTGGCAATGCCATTCCGGTAATTGTTCAAGTTATTGTGGAGCTTTTCTGATGGATGGATGGATGGAGGCTGCTTGAGTCTGTGCTTCGTGTTTCTCCCCGTTCTATTACTCGTATGTACGTTAGCCTGAATGTTCGTTTTGATGGTTTTTAGCAAATGGAAAAGGAAAAAGATATATACGTGTAGAGTGTGTGTGTGTGTGTGTGTTTGAGTGTTGTGTTTTTTTTTTTGTATGCGCTTGAGAGAGTTGCAACGTTATTGGCAATGCTGGATGCGCCTGCCACTTTTGGCTTAGGCCTTCTTCTCGGCCTCGATGACCTCCTTGGTGGGCAGCACGTTCTTCTCGTTGGTCTCGGTGTGCTTCAACTTTTTCGCATCGAAATTCTCGATGCCGGCTATGAATTGATTCTTCTCCTTCTCCTGCTCAATGGCTGCAATCGAGAAAACAACACAGAGAAATAGAGCGCACATTAGTTGCATTCACCATGTATGGGCAATCGGCTGCTTGGCCAGCCAGACAGACAGAAACAACCGCTAGCTATGGCAGCGGCAAGGCCGGTTCAATATCGTTTTATGGCCAACAACAGATGGTGGCTCCAAACGGAGCAGAATATGGCCAGACAGATAGACAGATAGACACTCACCTTCCTTATCGGGCAAGGGGTTCTTCTCGTTGGTCTCGGTGTGCTTCAAGTTGTTCTGATCGAATCCAGTGATGCTCTCGATGATTGATTGCTGGGTCTTCTCGGCAGCCACATCTGTTACAAAAGAGTTGTGTCCTCAGTTTTGGTTTTTCTTTTATGTTTATTCAGCCAAACTCACCCTCGGCTGTGGGCAAAATGATCTTCTCCTGGGTGCTGGCATTCTTCAGTTTCTCCGTGTTGAAGCCCTCCAACTGGCTCTTCAAGTTCTCGGCCACCTTGGGCAGATCCTTGAGTGCTGGTGCTGTGGATGCCATCTACAAATAAGAACAGTTGCATTTTTATTGTAAAGTAAACAATAAACAACTTCAGGGAATTTTCTATGACACTAAACTGAGTTTAAGCGAGATACCAAACAGAGCTTAGACATCTGTATCTTGGGTATCGGCTAATATAATTTCCAATTAAATTTTTATTCTGGCTACCACATCTGCTTCTCAATCGTTGCTTTGATTGGCGGTGTCTGCTTTCAAGGCAGCTGCAGCATGTGGCTGGCCCTTCTTCTCTCTTCTTTTGTGACAATATTTTCGTCGTAAAGAAGGGGAAGAGGATATCGATTATGATCAAGTTGGCAGTTGGATTAGGCGGAAGCAAACATTGATAACAAGTTGCTTGCTCGATATTGCGCATTAATCAATAATTAATTTTTCGTAGAAGACATTTCTTTGTTTACCGTTGATTTACGTTTGCGATTTCTCGCCACACTGACAGATTGTAATGAAATAGCAAAACAATATATTAATCATGAATTTGTTAACCGATAACCGATGAGTCACGATCCCAGGACGAGGTGAATGACGAGGATTACCAGAAGAGCGGGGATGGGGGGTTGCGTATCAGGAAACCAGCATGAAAGAGGAGAATGAGTTCAGCGAACCTTTCGTCATCGTCATTAAGCGGGGAGCGAGAGAGAGCGAGAGAGAGATTAAACTCAAATTCGACTCATGACTGTGGACTGCGGTTCTCTTTCGTATTTCTTTTGTTTTATTCTCTGGCCGGCCGCCGTTATCAGGGCGTTACGGAGAACGTTCTTGAAGAATGCTCGCTGTTCGGGGCCGTGGTCGGGGCTGTTAAATTGCATTTTATCACGTTTATTTTTAGTTGCAAAATTCGAGCTAAGGGTCCCCCCTGGTCCCAGGGTCCCAATGTGCGTGACCCATTCCATGTTCGCTATCAGCATTATTATTTCCACAAAGAATTTGCTTTGTGCGGCCTTTCATCAATATCGAAATCAAGTCATCAAATAGTATTGCTTCTGCATCCCGATAATTGAACAGCTGCAAGCGTTACATGGGCAGCGACCGCACCAAAACCAACAAGTCTATATATCCACATGCACACATTCATACATGTTTGTATTGTGCATTTACAGACCATAAATGGTCTTAAAGCTGCGCCTAAAGCGGATAGCCAATCATTGTGGATTGACTACAACTAACGGCCTCCTGTGGCAAGTCACCATCACCGTCACCGGCACCGTCACATCACCACACTGCGCCTAACCAAAAGTTCAATCCAACCCACTCCACTTCCTAAAGCTAAGCTCAGCCAAAGTGTATCTATTCAGGGTTTTCCCATATCGTCTCTCCCCCTAACCTGCGACAATTGCAAGCTGATGCAATTATTGTCGTAGATCCCTCCTCACTTTGCACAAGCACTGTTAAAATCTCACAAATTGTTTATGCGTAGACATCTGTACATGATTACCAATTGATCATGAACTATTACATGCTGATCGCCCATTGAAATCGTTGGCGACTTGCCTTCGATTAATTGACATCGCATAAACGGGGTTTCGTATTAGTCAGCTCCTTGGCAGGCAGCCAAACAAAGGAGAATCAACATGCAACTCTGCATACATACACACATACAAAATGAGTTGATTGGGAATGGTATGAGGTGGGGAGACGGGGTGGATAGGATGAAGTTTGCCGTGAATCAACTTCCAACTTCGAAATATGGTCGCCCCGCTTAAAGCGACCGATGAATCATCAGCGCGACGTTTGCCGTTGGCATTGCCACTGCCGGCTCTGTCGTTGTCGCCACCAACAACTCTGCTGCTGTGGTTTGCCAGCTCTCATTGCTGTTGTTGTTGTTGTTGCCGGTGCTCTGCCCACACTCTCTTTTGCTGCTTCTTTCCAGCCGTCTTTTGTCAGCTTTCCACAGCTAACAGCGCTCTTTCTTACTCTCCTTCTTTCTTTCTTTTTCCGTTTTTGTTAATTTTATATCTTGTAGTGCTTTTGGGTTTATGACTTTGTTTGCTGATTGGAACTCTTATCGAGGGGGGAGCCCGTGGAGGTGGAGTCGGCGCCAAGCAGCCAACAACAAAAAATTAGTTTTGGACACATTTGAGAGCCAAAATGAGTCAAAAGAGTGCTGATGCGTGGCAAAGACCAGACAGGCGGAGAAGGAAGCGAGAAGAGGGCCCAGCCGAAGTTGAGGCACAGCACCGAGTAGAAGAAGCAGACGGCCAGCAGCAGAGGGCAGAATGAAATTCGAAAAAGGGGAGAAATGAGAAATGACAGACACGTCCGTTTTACACCCTCGCCGGAGCTGCCAGCAGAGTCAGGCCGCCGCAGCCAGCGTCGCCAATTCCTGCGGCACGTACACACAACACACATATGCATGTACATCCATATGTATATAAACGACAGCGAAGTACAGTGAATTTTAAATATGCACATATGCAGGCCCACTCATCCGTCTGCTACATTTTTCATTTTAAGATGGGTTTTTTTTTTTTTTTTGCGATAACAAATTCGAAATTGGTGACAGAATAGCCACTGCATGCGCCGCTGCCACGCCCCACAAACAGAGACACACATGTGCATGTGCATGACTTGCGCGCAAGCCGTAGTTTTCGTGGGGAGGATATTAAGCAGCGTCAAATGCGCCCCGCCCAAAGCAGCAGACACATACAAGCAGACGTATATAAAAATGAAGTTAAAAAAATGCCGGCCGGCTCGCTCAGGTAGTGAGAGGGAGCGAAAGAAAAGCTTTAACCCAACACACACACACATAGAAGCAAACGGCGACAAAAGCGTTTCAACAGCTGCGTCTAACAAGGGGCGAGAGGGATAGAGACAAAACTTAACGGGAAAAGCACCACAATAAATACTTATAACAAATCTGAAAAGAACCAGAAGCACTCCTCTCCTAAAGATCCGCCCAGCTCTCACTTACTCATCATTTCTGCAATCAATGAAGAAGCGCAGTCAACAACAAAAAAAAAAAACCAGTTAAGTGCTTTTCTACTCTCTTCTGCGTTCTGCTACTTCTTGCAGATTTCTTTTGGCCTGTGCCTGCCACAATGGATGGCGAATTGAAAAGAAATTGCCGGCCAACAATTTAAGGGGAGGCGGACGGTGGGTGTGGATGCGAAATAAAATAAATAAAATTGTATGCTCACCTTAAGGTTTTGTTTTTTTTTTTGGTTTGGATTTACAAAAAAAAGATACTGGTGAGGTGTAGTTATCTGTCTGGGGTTCGTTGGGTCTGCTTTATATATATTTATATACACTATGCAAATTATTTGCACTTGATTTCAGAAATACTCTTTCTTTTAGTTCGGTCGCGGAGCGCACAAGCTAACTGGATGGACGTCAAAACGGACTTAAAGTTGTTCCAATCTGAACGAAAAAGTTTAATTGCGCCCCGTCGTCGGTCGTGCCTATCGATAAAGTATACCGTGTGAGCCTGAGAAATATACCGAAATATACCAAATAATGGATGAAATATACTTCATTTTCAACCGATATACACGTAATCAACAACGAACTAAGCCCGCTTGTGCCCCTAAATTTATACGAATGTAGACTTGCTCTTAAACGCACAAAATATTATAAGTTATCCGTGCAAATACATCATTGTAAAATTACTAGCAAGCTGAAGCTCTCAGGCGTGAATAGAAGGAGCTACTCTGCTTTAAATCCGTTTTCCAAGCTGATTCTTATAATTGTAACAGCCAGATTTTACACTTCATGGTTGCATAGCATCCACATAAGAGAGTTTCAAATCAGTCAGTTTCAGCCAGCCCTATAGAGTTTCATATTATCCAACTAATTGTTATTAAGCTAACGATCGAATTTTTTACATTTTTAAATGTTTTGCGTCTCTTATTGCTGGTTAATTCTTGAAAGGAAAAACATGATTGTCGTTAATTTATGTATTTACACATTTAGAGGCTTATAAAAAAGACTATACTTTAATAAGGCTTGGCTTGGATCTACGTCATAATACATCTTTATATATACAGTTGAGTGGAGTAGGAGTACGCCTCGTCCGAGGCGTGTGCTACGCGTAATTTGCCGATCGGCATTCATTCCACACGTGCACCATTTCGTCGGGATCGCTGAAGCCGTGCGAGGCAATGACGTTGCTGTAGCTATCGGGCCCGGAGTAGTGGGGTCTGTGGAAGAGGAAGCCGTCGCAGTGGTGCACTGGAATTTTTGCCTTGAGCGCCACAATGCCCAGATATATGTCATCGAAGCGGAATAGCGGCACTCGCCTGCTCGTCGCGTACATCTCGAGCAGGGCGCTGCGTGAGAGGATGAAGGCACCGGCCGTCACATACGGCGGCCACTTGTCGAACGGATACTCCTCGAGCGAGACATACCACTTGCTGAACTTGTGGCGCAGCGGCGAAGTCTGAAACACATAGCCGGCAAAGAGACGATCCGGATGATGGGTGTCCCGTCCGCGGCCCAGGAATCGCAGAACATTCTTGATGGACACATAGTAGTCGTCGTCGACGAACATGTAAAAGTCGCTCTGGTTGAAGTGCTCGCTGGCCCAGCGCATGCCCATCATTGTCTTGATGGTGTTGTTGAAGTAGGCATCCACAAAGTCCGCGTGCACAATGTCCCCATGCTCCTTGGCCTCCCGTCGCACATTGTCCATGCTGTCCGACGAGGTGCCCAGCAGAAAGGCGCGACGGATGTGAACGTCGGAGAAGCGCGACTCGTAGCCCCAGGTCTTGCGTATGGCCTGGCGTCGCCTCACATTGCCAATGGCGCTCTTCACCAGCACAGTCAGGCGGGGTGGATCCGTCGTGCCCATGAATGCGGGCATTTGCAGAAATCCGTAGCTGGAAATTCCAGACGAGGCTGGGCCCTCATCGTGCAGTGGATAGTAGAAGTGCTGCTCAAAGCTTAGCTCATGGAGATGGGTCAGCAGGCCGCAGAAGTCGATCAGGAATATGATGGGAATTGCCAGCGAACATTTTAGCAGTAATTTATAATGTTTATTTAACATTGAGGATATTTAATTCAGTGCGACCGCGGAATTATCGATAAAATATACCGCACGACCCTCAAAAATATACCGAATATACAGAATCAACGAATATACAGACATATATGTGAATGTCAATTATCAAAGAGGCAGAGAAATAGTTTACAAATTGGAATTTTTGTTGTTTGGCGCCTGAAAAGAATTAGCTCTGGCAAAATGTCCGAGGAAACAGCAACAGCTGCTGCAGAAGCAGCCCCCCCCAAATCCACACTCACCACAGCCCAGAGATCGCGCATTGAGCGGAATCTGGCCAAGGCCCAGAAGTTGCGGGAGGCAAAACTTGTCTTCCATCCTTACAAGGAGCTCGGCAAGTAGGTTTCTTTTTTGACCATACCATGCGCAGAGCTTACACTCTAATTGATTTCTCTTGTGCAGCCACCTCGGCGATACTCAGCCAGAGGGAGGGCCGAGTCAGGGCACCTCGGTGATCAAGGTGCAGGGCACCAAATACATTGACAGTGGCGGTGGCTTCCTGCTGGAACAGCCAGTGTTGCCTGCGGCTGGCGCAACAGGAGGGACTGGCAAGCCCGAGGATGGAGCAGCGCCCACCATCGAGGATGATGCCATTGCCATACCGGTGGTGTACGAAGAGTGCCTGGAGTGCGGCGAGCCGTTCGCCGACTCTTATCTGTTCACCAATTTCGGGCACTCGGTGTGCGACAAGTGTCGGGACAACGAGGAGCGCCACTCACTAATCACCCGCACAGAGGCTAAGGCTGAGTATCTGCTGAAGGACTGCGACTTTGACAAGCGCGAGCCAAAGTTGCGCTACATTAGCCGCAAGAATCCCCACAACGTGCGTTGGGGCGAGATGAAGCTCTACCTGCACTCGCAGGTGCAGAAGCGTGCCATGGAGGTGTGGGGCAGCGAGGAGGAGCTCGTGCGCCAGCACGAGGGTCGCGAAGAGAAGCGCGAGGTGGGCAAGGCCCGCAAGTACAACAAGCAAATGAAGCAACTCCGCATGGAGGTCCGCAGCAGTGTTTATACCAAGAAAACGCATGCCATACACGAGCACGAATTTGGCCCGGACACCTACAACGAGGAAGAGGATGAGTATACGCACACCTGCCTCACATGTCCCTACACCGAAACCTACGAAAAGATGTAGAGTCACCCACGAGAGAGAGAGAGAAACCCATAGAGTATTTTCGCCTATATTCCTATTTCGCCATAGCCTGTAAGACCCTTGAAGGGATAACTTTTGATTTTCATTAAAAATTGTATTTGAATGTCAAGTTTTTTGTTTGAAATTTATTTATCAATGGAAGTAAATTATATATTCAGTGCTGAGTATTCTGGCTGGTTAGAAATATGCATAAAACCGAATAGAAATTTGATTTCCAATCTTGGGCTGAGAGCGATTAACCCATTGTCGACCAGTGGGTACTTAACGGAAAAAAAAACGAAACTTGCAGAATTTACCGCAGCTCAGGTGAAGAATAGTTGTGTTTTTTGTGGCTAAAGAGAGAGGATGGATATCAAGGAGTTAGCTTGAATTGTTCGCCTGTTTTCATGGAGCGGTGCTAATTGGGCAAAGTTCGTTTGCTTCCTTGGTATATTTATGGTATATTCTGCAAATGGGCAGCTAAATCGCGGTATATTACCGAGGAACAGGCCGTGGTATAAGTGATCAATAAGTCCGCAGTCACACTGACACCAAGCTGCATAAACAAATTGTCTGCACACACTATTTGAGGTAGCTTAGTTTATTCAGTGCAAAGCCATGATGGAGGAACAGTCCGACGATGAGAACGCGGAGCCCGCTCCAAAGAAGATCAAGCGGGAGTGGGTGAAGAGCTACTCCGAAAAGGCCATGGAGATGATGAAAAAAATGGGCTACGAGAACGACAAGGGTTTGGGTAAGAGCAATCAAGGTCGCTTGGAGCCCGTTATAGCCGTTCAGCAGGATGGCCGTCGTGGCTTTGGCCTCAAGCTGGACGCCGCCCACTTGGCCGCCCACTTGGCCGCCGGGCAATGGGACCCCAGCTGCGAGGAGCTCGAGATGCCCGAGACAGTCAAGTGGCTGACAAATGTGGGCCCCAAAGCCAGCCAGTACACGCTCGATCAACTGATGGGCTTCGTCGTCAGGGGTGAGCGCAAACGCACTCTGGAAGATGAGAATCGCTACTGTGATCCCGAAGTCCTGCATCACATCCTCAATGCCAAGTCGGCCTTTGACGATCTGAACGACGCCGAGAAACGTCGCGCCCGCTCGCGCTGCAATCCATTTGAGACCATACGCAGTTCCATTTTTCTCAATCGAGCGGCCGTTAAAATGGCCAACATCGACTCCATGTGCGACTTCATGTTCACCAATCCCAGAGATCTCGAGGGCCGTGCCCTGGTGGATCCCAAGGACCTGCTCTACTTCACGGACATGTGTGCGGGTGAGTGAGGAAGGCCCAAGCAGTTGGAGCTCCTCTGAATGTTCTTCTCTTTACGCTTTTGGCAGGCCCTGGTGGCTTCTCGGAGTATGTTCTGTTCCGCAAATCGTGGGAGGCCAAAGGATTCGGATTCACGCTGCGCGGTGCCAACGATTTCAAGTTGGAGAAATTCTTTGCCGCCTCGCCAGAGTCCTTCGATACCTACTATGGCGTCAAGGATGATGGCAACATATTCGACGACCAGAATCAGGACTCATTGAACGAGTACATACGCTTTCATACACCGGAGGGCGTACACTTTGCGATGGCCGACGGCGGATTCTCGGTGGAGGGTGAGGAGAACATACAGGAGATACTGTCGAAGCAGCTGTATCTGTGCCAGTGCCTCACCGCACTCAAGATATTGCGCAAGAACGGGAACTTTGTGTGCAAGCTGTTCGATCTGTTCACACCGTTCAGCGTGGGTCTGATCTACCTGATGTACAAGTGCTTCCATCAAATAGCGATCATCAAGCCAAATAGCAGTCGTCCGGCCAACTCGGAGCGCTACCTCGTCTGCAAGTACAAGCTGGAGGAGACCACTGACGTTATCAACTACATGAACACCATCAACGTTATGCTGAACGAGGACCGCGAAAGTGTCGACGATATTCTCGAGATCTTTGACGCCAACGAGATCGCTGCGGATGGCGAGTTCGTAAGCTATGTGATCGAGTCGAACAATGCCATTGGCAGGAA